TATGTTTACGGAACGTATCCGCTGTTTTCTCAAAATTTGGTATTGTTTTGAAATGGGACGGGGTTTATTTCATTTATGCTTTTAACGTTTCTATCAATAAATACGCGATAGTGTTTATCCAGTACAGAGTTGTCTTGTATTAGCAACCTATCCACCTATGTGTAAAATCGAAAACCGAACAATCCAACAACTTGTAAAATGTATCTTTTCTGATTTTTATTATTAATCGTATTACGTTCACCAAATTTTAATGTTTCTGGCCCTCTAGTCATAGCAGCAGGTTGTGTTTTAATATAAGCGATCCTTTTAATGAGTAATACAATAAAAGCAAATTTTATTAAATTTGATAGGCAGTCAGTTTCCTTTAAAAAGTGTGTGTTCAAGAACCAAAACTAACCAACAGGATCGACCTATGGACTCACGCAAGGAAGATCGGTTTTAACAGCCCATTCGATTGCAAACTCGAAGGTGGCAGATGTAAGCGAGTAACTGAAATTACTGTGGGGAGTTTGGAATCGACCCGTGAGCAGCCGTCAAGGGGAGCAACATCCCAAAGCGATGAAAATCATTTTTCAATTACCGGTTGCGCGTCGACATTATTAACGTATAAGTGTTAAATGTAATACCATAAATGCCCGATTTATATGTACGTATATGTTGAAATTATTCCCTCAAAATACATGCTATTATGCAAAAAATATAACAAATGGATTATCGTTGTTTTTATATATATATATATATATATATATATATATATATATATATATATATATATATATATATATATATATATATATATATATATATATATTACTATAATGTAATTGGCGCCTAAATTTTGCTTAAAATAACTTTAACAAGAATTTAACTAGTTAAGAACTCAAAAAAAAAACATTTCCTTCTCCACGTCGATTTAATAAAACAATAGCCCTCAAAAGCAACTAAAATTAAAATGTTATAGGTGAGGTTAAAAAGTAGATCTTAATTCGCAAAATACGGATTTAGCTTTTTAGAGTTTTCTCTGGTCAGGTGCGTTCATAAAATTCATTATAAATTTAAAGGTTTGCATCTAAAAAATGTATATATTTTTTTAATCCTAAAAATGGTTAATTACTATTAAAAAATGAAATGCTTATTAGTTCCATTCACTCTCGTAAGTGTTTTGACTAGGGCGCGAACAGAATTAATAACATTAGACTTATATATCTAAGGTATTTCATGAACAGTGTGGCACACGTCAACAAGGAATAATTTGTATCAAATAATATCACCATGTAGGGTGTATTCCAGGTTTGTTTGTTTTTGCAGTACGTTCGATACATTTTTTTGCGAATAATTTATGTTTATGTTATTGGAGTTTTAGAAGTCTTATTGTTTCTTATAAGAAAAGATAAAATATAGATTACTCTGGTTAAATAAATGAGAATCATTTTTATATTTCAAGCTAAAATAAAATTTTGCGAACGAGATTAAAATCTCTGCTTTTACAAGTGACGGTAAATTTTTATATATCCTGTGGTATAAAGTGATATAAGTGTTTCTTTGAATACCTTAACAGTGTAAGTAAAATACCAAAAATACATTAAAAATGCTATACGATTAAAAAAAAGCATCGGTCTAATATAAATTAAAATATTTTGTTGTCAGTTTCCTATATAGTATGAATTAAACTCATTAAAAATGCAAATCTCTTACTCTCGACCACCTCTAATGTTCAAGCTTCAAATTAGGGCACCGAATTAACAGGTAAAATAATTTGAATAAACGACCTTTTTTGGTAATTGTTTCGGTAATTTTTTAGAGTAATTTGAACTAAGTTTACATTATTATAGTTTAATAGTTATGATTAGATTGTGATAGATTCTTGGCTTAAAAGTTGAGAGAAGTAGTTATAGTTATTACAGTTAGTTATATACGAGGTATATCTATAAAGATGTTTCTTCCAGAATATTCCGAACAAAAAATAGGAAAACTTGTGCAGCCCATATTCCAAAAGTAGAAAAATCTGACGTAAATATTGCCAAGGGAAAGAATTATTCTGAACTTGAATGACAAGAGTAACAGTGAGAGTGAAACAGACCCAAGTTAAAACTTATTCTTAATTATATTTATTCAAACGTTATCTACTTTATATACGTTAACTACCTAGTATAAAAATATCTGCTTTTTTTGGAGAAGGTGCTTTATTGCGTATACCTAACAGAGTGTATATCTATAATTGGCCTTTCGCTGGTACTTTTTGTTCTTTGTGTTATTATACTAAAATATTGCACATCGTAACAGAAACATTTGCCCCTTCTAAAGAACTCGCTTTCACTTTTCCACTTTTTTTAGTTTCTTATTCCAGCAGTAACAAGTCCGTCGCTGCCTTCATTCCGACACTGACTTGGTTATAACGGTAAAGGATAATAATGAATTTGATAGATATCTGGTTCCACTATACTATATTGCATTTATTGTCTTACATGTTTACAAAACCAAAAGTGTTTGAGGCAAACTAGTTTAACTTCTTGTGACTCCAAGAAAATATCCGGTTTCAAATTTTAAAGCAACGTTTTAACCCTTACCCGTGGTATTGATTTTTTTGTCAAAATCTTTCAACAGTCTTATCCAGACCGATCATTTTCTAGATTAATACCCAATCTGCTGTTCGCAGATGACTTAGAATTTATTCAATTGAATCAAGAGTACGGGATGCGACGCTTGGCGGTAGAGTTACTCGATGCCATCGACAGCGTGTTCGATGACAATGGCATCCGATTAATAAAGCTTTTTTAAATTATAATTTAAAACATTTTGATGGATAGAGATAGAATTGCCGATAAACTCGTTTACGGAAAGACCGAAAGCGCGAAGGCACTTCATTCCAATAGCGTGTTCATGGATGTGAGATATTAGAATTTGATTATTAATTAAAACGCTTTGTGTCTTTCCAAGTCTGAATAATAAAAACCCAAGGTCCAATTCAGGAAAATAAAACTTGAAATTAAGGTAAACCTATCTTGTAAGTAAAGAAGGACGACTATATAGGAACGTTTCTCAATATAGAAGTTTACACTGGTGGACTAAACTGGTGAGTTTGCAGTACATTTTTGTAGCACGTGACCTGAACTGACCAATGTCACATTACTATGGCCAAAATCATACACATTATATTCCATACGAAACTTCCAAAATTGCTGGACCAAGCCAAATCGTCACAACGTGACCTTGGAAAAAGAGTCGTAAAAAATAACGAATATTAAAACTCAAAATATTTGGGACAACGATTTAAGATAAATTTCCTTTAATCTGCGGATGAATGAAGCTGACCACCTATATAATATATACTATACTCTGTTTTCTCCAATAGTGTTTCGAACAATGACATATGCAGAAAAAAATTAAGGTCAATTAGATTTTTTTCAAAGTCACTATCTATGTACAAATGAAGAGGTTTGAAATTAGTTTTTACCAGATAAATAAAATATTTTAGCAATTTGCGGTTAAGAATTGGAGTTTATCTCTACTTTTAGCAGCATTTATCTACCTTTCTACATGAGTTTTTATTAATGAGTAATTGAAAAACATTTTTATTAGAAGGTTGTCACATATTGAAAAACTATCCCTGTAAAGTCCATTAAGAGCTATGTTATCATTAGCTATCCGTTTGGTTAAATGATTAGGTGAATATAATTATTTGGAAACAATTTACTGTTTCCTTGAAACCCGTTTTTGTAGCTATTACAACATTAAAACTTAACTTATCTTAGGAAAATTGAGAACCAATAGCGGGTAACCTAAATTGAAATCATCAACCGTAGAGGAGATACAAATGCAACCCAAGACCATCCGAACTCCCCAAAACTTATCTTAAAATTGCACCTTGTACTAATTTTATGCATGTATAATATCTGATCTCTTTTCAAGAAAGTTCGCTAGACAAAGGATAGATTTCGGTGTTCATATTTATAGAAATTAACATCATATCAGCTTTTTTAATGTTATATTCCACAGACGAACCAATCGTTATTCTTAGCATATTTTTTACCAATCGTTATTCTTAGCATATTTTTTATAGGAGTAAGTTGAAAATTAAGAAACGAATTGTCTTTTTTTGTAAACTTTGCAGCCTACTAATCTCCCCCTGTGTGCAGGTCAAAATTAAAGAGGAACAGTAATTAAAGTGAGACAAAATAATACTTTGTCAGGCCAAAGTCTTCGTGTACATTGACAAGCTCGGCGATATTCGCTTAAAAATCATAACTAGGATCCAATATTACACATAAATACTTTATTTCAGAGACAAATTCTACGAGGAAATAATTTATTCTTAAAGTTATTTTGGTGCCGATTACCATACATTCATATAAGTAACACATATTAATGTATCGTCTGTGAACAGACTTATAGAAAAATATAGAATAGTATATTATGCAACAAGTATGGTTAACGGTATTTGAGTCATGAGTTTATTTGGCACGATCGAAGCGAGTGTTTAATAAATGAGTAAGTTTAGAAGTTTACCAAAAGTGTAATATACTATACATATTCTACGACCAATAGATTTTGGGTAGATTTTTGCAAAACAACACGAATACATTCAATGACAGGCGGAAATATTACGGAAATGTCCGAACTGGCTCGGAATGACACTTTTCGCACGCTAGATTGATGTATAATTGGGTATTTTACAGAAGGGAGAAAAAAAATAAATATTGTGAATAGCCCTGCATGTTATTTGACATGACTCTGTATACTTACATTAAGAGCTTGACTTCTAGGCTCAATTTTATATTATGGGCAATTGCTGGCTTTTCGATAAGTTTTCAAATAGAAAAGATACACCTACATTTTGAAGAACAAAAATGAAAGAGATTTTTCTTTTCACAAATTTTGCTGTACATTATTTACCGCCAACATATTTTATGTAAACCCAAATTAAACGGTACTATAATATGATACTATAATACTTTTATAATAATAGGCCTGCGCCCAATGAAATTTGTATTTTGTCGTAGATACTGCAGGTGGAGAGACTGTAACTGCGCCAAATGTACGTTAATCGCAGAACGACAAAGAGTGATGGCGGCTCAGGTTGCACTGCGCCGTCAACAGGCCCAAGAAGAAAACGAGGCCAGGGAGTTGGGAATCTTGTTCCCGACGCCCGCCACATCTTTGGAGGAACCCACGTCTTCGGCCGTATCGCCGTCCTCGGCACCGAAAAGTCTCGAAAATCCTCTTTGCTCCCCCAATTTGAAACAGCAGAGGAGCACGACAACACCATTTGGCGCTTCAGATTCTTCCAGCGCATCAAGCCCAGGTATTTTGATGCCGCGTTTTCAAAAACGGATTGATCCCAAATAAGGACGCACACTGGGGTATCACAAAATATAATAAAAAAAATTAAGTGTTCCCTGGATTTTACAAATAATAATATTTAATAATAATGAATTAATATTTAAAAAAATAAGTAACAAGTCGAAACAATATTTGCTTAATCTGAGTTTTCAAGCATTTCTAATCTGGGTTATTTGTTGGTTATGTTACGTCAAAAATACGACTTAGATGGAGGAAGAAACTGCAGGTGTACTTTAAAACATTATATTATTTTTCAAAATCGATATTTATGAGAGTTTTAGTTAACTATTTTTTCGAATTCAGCTAAATTTCTATATACTTGTTACTCAGTAAACATCCAATTTTCTTATGGTAAAAAACTTGTTGCTACTTTTTTCTTCTCATACTTTAAAACTCCGGTGTACTAAATTTCCAAAAAAATTCAGGCAATAGTCTCTGAAATGTTTGAAAGTTGCGGGATTTTTGGCGAACCCTATGTAATGTAGATATTTGTTCATCCTTCAAAATATTAAATTCTTACGGAATTTATTTGCTTTTAAATAAAAAAATATATTTAAAAAGCCATTTCGATCAGTATCAAATCAATATCAGTTACAATATCTAAAAAGAAAAAACTCATAACTATAAACAAACTCAAATGATTTTTGAAAGAGTTGAATCTAAAAGGCCGTCATGTTTAGGTGCTTGATTTATGGCTATTATATTTTTATTAAAACCTTTTTTTTGTCATATTGCCAATATACAACAAAATTTAATAGGTTAAAGTATAGGAAGACAAAGAATTGTTCCGGTTGTATAAGCGAAGAAACTTGGAAACACTGTTAATTCTATTGCCATGACAATTATACAAATGGAGGACCTAAAACCAACTTGGCGTGAATGATTATATCAATAAAATTGAAAGGTATGGTTTGTGAAATTTGTTTAAATTATCAACTGCCTAGTTTGCAAAAACTTAGTCTATGAATGTGGACGTGGACAGCAAGCCAAATGTATCAATTTATTGGAACTGTGTGTGTGTGTGTGTGTGTGTGTGTGTGTGTGTGTGTGTGTGTGTGTGTGTGTGTGTGTGTGTGTGTGTGTGTGTGTGTGTGTGTGTGTGTGTGTGTGTGTGTGTGTGTGTGTGTGTGTGTGTGTGTGTGTGTGTGTGTGTGTGTGTGTGTGTGTGTGTGTGTGTGTGTGTGTGTGTGTGTGTGTGTGTGTGTGTGTGTGTGTGTGTGTGTGTGTGTGTGTGTGTGTGTGTGTGTGTGTGTGTGTGTGTGTGTGTGTGTGTGTGTGTGTGTGTGTGTGTGTGTGTGTGTGTGTGTGTGTGTGTGTGTGTGTGTGTGTGTGTGTGTGTGTGTGTGTGTGTGTGTGTGTGTGTGTGTGTGTGTGTGTGTGTGTGTGTGTGTGTGTGTGTGTGTGTGTGTGTGTGTGTGTGTGTGTGTGTGTGTGTGTGTGTGTGTGTGTGTGTGTGTGTGTGTGTGTGTGTGTGTGTGTGTGTGTGTGTGTGTGTGTGTGTGTGTGTGTGTGTGTGTGTGTGTGTGTGTGTGTGTGTGTGTGTGTGTGTGTGTGTGTGTGTGTGTGTGTGTGTGTGTGTGTGTGTGTGTGTGTGTGTGTGTGTGTGTGTGTGTGTGTGTGTGTGTGTGTGTGTGTGTGTGTGTGTGTGTGTGTGTGTGTGTGTGTGTGTGTGTGTGTGTGTGTGTGTGTGTGTGTGTGTGTGTGTGTGTGTGTGTGTGTGTGTGTGTGTGTGTGTGTGTGTGTGTGTGTGTGTGTGTGTGTGTGTGTGTGTGTGTGTGTGTGTGTGTGTGTGTGTGTGTGTGTGTGTGTGTGTGTGTGTGTGTGTGTGTGTGTGTGTGTGTGTGTGTGTGTGTGTGTGTGTGTGTGTGTGTGTGTGTGTGTGTGTGTGTGTGTGTGTGTGTGTGTGTGTGTGTGTGTGTGTGTGTGTGTGTGTGTGTGTGTGTGTGTGTGTGTGTGTGTGTGTGTGTGTGTGTGTGTGTGTGTGTGTGTGTGTGTGTGTGTGTGTGTGTGTGTGTGTGTGTGTGTGTGTGTGTGTGTGTGTGTGTGTGTGTGTGTGTGTGTGTGTGTGTGTGTGTGTGTGTGTGTGTGTGTGAGAGAGAGAGAGAGAGAGAGAGAGAGAGAGAGAGATATTGATGACAAAATCAAACGAAAGCCAATTAATTGCTGATGTATTATATGCACAGGTTATACATATTTGCTGTGGATGATAGTTTGTTATTAACAATGCCTCAATTTATAGATTGATGCCGGACAGAGTTCGGCAATATTGTAGTCTATACTTCCTAAGAAACAATTTAAACAGTTTATTTTGGCAGTGGCAGATTTCCTAAAGTAGAGCAAAATAGTAGTGATTTTGCAAATGAATCTATGAATTGGTTCTTATTATTTCCATCCGAACGGTGAACTAGACTAGACCTCTATTTTTTTTTATATCTAAGGCGATTTCGTCTATTAGTCGAAATATATATCCAATCCTCTATATACGATTAAGGCGAGGAAGACGGTCAAAGCCAAATCAACAGTTGCCGAAAAATGTAGAATTTTCATCTGTTTACGCAGTTCCTAATAAGGATTGACGTGTACGTTTGGCTAGACATTCGTCATTCAAATAAAAGGTCACAAAAATATAGGTCAGGAAATGTTTAATTTTCAAAATACATGACGTTAAATATTTAAAAAAAAAAGCGGCTGTTCAAAAATCCTTATGGCGGTCATTTTCATCATTTTTATGATTTTATTTTTTTCCACGGGCAAGGCAAGAAACAAAAAAATTAAAAAGTACTACTTTCCGTAGCTCATTGAAAGTAAATAACAAAAATTGCAAAAAAGTCAGTGACGTACATCTCTTTAACAATAGTATTCGTTATGACTGAATATAAATTAAATTGCCAAATTTCAACAAAATCTAACCTCAAATATTTAATATGTTTTAAAAAACCCGTTTTATTAAAAATAGTAAACAGTAAGCATTTCTCAACCTAGGAATAGGAATAGGTTCAACAGATAGACAAATGCTTTCAAATCTTCTGATTCCGATATATGAATATCATACAACAAAAAAATCGAAATTTCACGATCTTCCTACGCTCTATCGGGATTTATACACGGCGCGGGTCCACTCTCAGATCAGCTTTAAAAATAAAAAAAAACTCATCTTTTGAACCTCACCTTTCCTAACATTTCACAAGTCGTATGAAATTATTTATGACTTTCTCAGTTATTTTGCATTGTCCTTTAAATTAATTATTTTTCTTTCTTCAGTAGTATTAAGGTTTTCTTTTGTATTGCTGTGACGATATAAAACCAGCCCAGTTAGATACCATGCAGAGATATCTCCCAATTGTGTAAAATTATATACATTATTTTAATTTAATTAAACAAAAATATTTGTATTTCTTCAATTTAAGAAACATTACTAAAGTATAGATTTATGTTGTATAGTTAAAAAAAATAAAATAAAATTAGTGCCCGTAACGAGTATCGAATCTGCTTTTTGGGACCACGCCCGCGGGATATATTTAAATAGAAACCGTTACGAGAGAAGAATCGTTTTATTTGAAAAACAATCGTTGAAACTGTGCACCGAGTAATACGATAGTATATCTGTGTCTTACTTCTCAGCTTTGTTTGATAAACAACGCTCTTACAGTAGCGTGTAATTTAAGACGGCCGTAATATGAAAAAGGGAAAATATAGGGCCAGTGCCACCACCCATTCAACCTAAATCGGGATGAAAAGGACAATTCTGTTTTGTGTCATTTTTTGCGTCAGTGGTTGGCCCTGAAGATGAAGTTTCACATTGTATTTTAATGCTTGTTTCCCTCTTGATTAGGTTACTTAAAAAGTATAATAAATGTGATATCCTGTCAGAAATAATTAGATAAATCATCCCTCATCGAAATTCACAAACAATATTCCCAAAAAATTAGTTACATTTGCATATAGTAAGTACTTAACATATTTTCATTATTTACATTATTTATACCTAACATAATATTTACTGTACCAAATTAAGAAGTTACAAGGTGAACTAAGAAAGTAATGATGAAAACGAAAAAACCATTGAAGATGGCCATTTTGGATGTACCGATTATTTGGTGAAAAAACTGTACATATATAAATTTATACATATCGACATTAATCGACTTAAAAAATATATAATTTACAATACAATTTAACTACAAACAGTGGCTAGAAGGGACTTCCTATGGTTAACTTGATCTTCGTCTTCTCGTAGCCTATGAATTTTTCGCTTATTACGGGTCAGTACCGGTGGTAAAACTTTCAAGCAATGGTGGTAATTACTGAGACGCAGCAGTTAAAATGCGACCGAAAAACTTCTATATTTTTGACAACTTATCTATAACAATTATTTCGAAATCACCTAAACAAACAACTTTTTGTTTTTATTTTTTTCCTACCCTAAAATGACCAGTTACACCGGGTACTTTAGTCATGGGTTTGCGAGAGATCGGATGTTTATGGTAGATTTTAAGCATTTACGTATTTTAAAGTTTGTGAGTGGTAAACGACAGTCACGAGTTTATTTGACACGAGCGGAGCGGCGAAACACGATTACATTCACTGAGTGACGTGTGACATATCCGTCAGTAATACTCCGAAAACATCAGATCCAATTGCTCGCAAACCCGTGCGGTAATATAACGGAAATGGCCGAATTGGCTCGCGCACCGTAGGTAAAGAAACAGATGTCTTAAAATGTCTTATATTTTTAATTCAGTAACACGTCATAATATAAAGAAAGCGATCTCTTGCAATTTATGACAAGTGTTGCAAGATGTAAGTGCAAAATTTCGTCGTAAAATTATTTATTTCATCGAAAAAGTATAAGAACATTATTTTACGGTTGTGCGCTTCGTGAAATAAATTTTTCATTCACTGTAGACTGACTTTTCTGGCTTCTAGAAAAACGAGGCGAAAATCTTCTTAGCAAAATATATC